CAAAGATCCGCCTGCCTCTGCCTCCCGGGTGCTGGGATTAAAGGCGTGCGCTCTTAGGCGGTTTTTAAGCAAAGAGGAGCAAAACCTTTCTGCTGGCCCTGGGCTCTCCAGCTTTTCTTTCTGCCCCAGCCCAGGCGGGGTGATGTAGGGTCCCGCTAGCTCTCTAGACTTTTCCCCAATGCCACTCCATCCGGCTCACGGTCCCACCTGTCTTCCCTCCCCCAACTTTGGTCTCAGCTTCTCTCTCTCTCTCTCTCTCTCTCTCTCTCTCTCTCTCTCTCTCGGTGCTTTTCTGCACCTTGCACTTTCTTATGCTCCTACTGATTCCCCATCTTTTGAAACGTCCCTTTCCGGACCTCTCAGAGCCCAACAGATTCTGGCTTAAAGAAAGGTGACTGAGAGCTTGGTTTCTCCAGGACCTCTCTTAATTCCCTGAAGGCCGCTGTTTGCTTTAATTCAGTTTATTGTACTGTATTATTATTGTGTGTGTATGTGTGTGTAAGTGCATGCGTGCCATGGAGTGCATGTGGTGGTCAGAGACCAACTTTGTGGAGTCGGTTTTCACCGCTTTTGTTCTGGGTTTCTACTCAAATCAGCAAGCGCCTTAACCTTAATGCTGAACCATCTCATCAGCCCAATTTTCTTTATATATATATATAAAACCATTCAATAAAACAATTAAACCATTTCTTATACACCTATCTCTGACTGGTCCCAAAGTGAGATCTAGGTACTGGGAAGATTTGGAGGGAGAGCTCTGCTCCTGGGCTGGAGGTAGAATAGAGAGGAAGGACTTTGAAAGCTCTGGAAAAAGTACCCTCCAAAGTCGAAGTGCTGGAATGGCATCAGGACATTACACTGTGTAAGAGCTGATGACCTTGGCCTCCACGTCCATGCCTAAAGTCCCTGACTTGCTGTCCTCATCTGCCACCCTTTCTAATAAGGAAACATTTGGGGTTTGGGTGGATTGGGACAGCCCACCAGCACCAGAGAATTGGTCATTTCTGTTTCTATTTCTGGTGCATGGAGGGAGCAGATAATTAGAGAGAAGCATGGCTGCAGATCACTGGTGGGTTTTTTAATTAAGAAAATTAAAAAACAAAACATGCTTTCCCGAGCTTCTCTCATTTAAGGATTTTGAGTAAGAGACCCTGGAATTCTGGTGATAGAGATAGGCTTGTCTTTGCCTCCAGGAAACAATCCAGGTCTAACCAAACCTAAGGATGGTGTAGGGAATGCAGCAGCAAAGTGATCAGTCTCTAGGATTTTGCTCGTAGGCACAGCTCCTCTTGAGACAGAATAACCACAGGAGCTACAAGGGTCCTGGGACTGTGCCTCAGCCAGGAACAGACTTTGGGTCTCCTGGTAGGGGAAGGAGACCTCCCTGAAGAGCAAATCAACAGTAGGAGGACTAGCCCCAAGGCAAGAATGGGGGAAGCCTGGGGAATTTAAAGGTTTTTGTTGTTGTTTGGTTTTCTTTTCGTTGTTGTTGTGTTGTTGGTTTTTTGTTTTGTTTTTTGGTACTTTTGAGACCTCTAGCCCCAGCTGGCCTGGAACTCACTGGTCTACAGACCAGGCTGGCCTTGAGCGCACAGAGATCTGCTTCTGGCTTCTGAATGCTGGGATTAAATGCTGAAATAAAAGGTGTGCCATCCGCTGTTTTTGTTTTTCTGAGGTGGGTCTGCTTTTGTAGCCTTGGCCTGGAACTATGTAGATCATGCTGGCTTTAAACTTGCAGTGAACCACCTACCTCTGTCTCCTAAGTGCTAAAATCACAGACCTTTCTTGAATGAGTCTCTTCCAAGTACAGGAAGGTCTTGAATAGCTCTAAATGACCTAATCAGTTCCCTTCTTAGGCTTTGGCCAGATCACACTCTGTGTACCTCAATTTCCCTGGTTTTGAAAGAGACTTGCATACTTTATTTATTTTGAGGATCCATTCAAGGGACCTTCAGAAATGGGCAGGAGAGAAATAGAAAATAGCAAATCTTCAAAATCTGGAGACTTAACTTTTTTTAGACAGGATCTCACTATGTAGCCCTGGCTGGCCTGGAACTCACTATGTAGACCAGGCTGGCCTCTCAAATCTCATGAGATTTGCCTGTTCCTATCTCCTGATTAAAAACATACACTACCATGCCCAGTGTATGAATTCATTTTCTATGTACATAAGAATTCCATGCTGGATGTGGTGGTGGACACCTTTAATCCTAGCACACTCGAGGCCAGCCTGGTCTCCATAGTGAATCCAGGTCAGCTGTGGCTACAGGGAGACCCTGTCTCAAAAAGACAAAAAAGAAAGAAAGAATTCTACATACCTCCCCAAGAGAACAGACAAAATAACATAGAATCAAACTAGTCATTTTCTATAAAGAACACAACCTTTCGTCCTCATACTCCCCCTTCAATATCCCCGGAGATAATAAAGTCCACATTAGCACAAGAAATGTGTGGGGCTTACATGTATACTTTTTCATTGCAGTGTGGAAGGGGAGGGCACAGCATCTAGACAGAGACATTCTATTAATAACCGCTTGTGCTGGTCTCAGGGTCCAAATCCCAGGAGATCACAAAGGGGTGTACTACTTTTACAAGTTCTGTTTGTAGAAACTAGACCTGTTGACTTGTTGATGTGCGTGTAGGATAAAGGTCACTTAAAAGCTGGCGAGTTTAAGATCTGAGAAGAGAGTTTACATCTGTAAATGGGTGGTTAGTAGTTTATTCAAAAAGAGAGTAATGAATGAATCCCCTAATATTAAAGGCAGTTTTTAAAATGGGTCAATGTGAACTGCTTTGTAGGGGCAAGGTAGCCTGAATGGGACACCCTCACATACCCCTGTCAATGGCTGAATCTGAGTGATGGGTCTGGGTGGTGGCAGAGAAACAGGTGAGGAGGAAGAAGGGGTGGGTATTGGGTGGATCCCTCCTCACTGTATAAACACTGAGACTGAAGCCACATTGGACCTTCTGGTGACTCTTTAAACATTGTCTGGGAGAGGAGCCTAGGAAGCAGGCCCAGTGAACCAGGGCTTTAATTCATCTGATGAGACCTCTTTCTACTTGGGAGGAGAAAGAATGGCTTTTGACAATTTTCTAGAACTTCCTTCTTAACACATAAGATCATTTTCAGAAAGATTCTGAATGAAATGTCACTGAGGGCTGAAATAATGCTCACCATCAAGATAGTGTAAGACCTCTGTCTTGAATGACGTAGAGAGTCGGGGGGGGGGGGGAGAAAAAGAGATGTCCGGGGGGGGGGAGAGAAAAAGAGAGAGACTGATTATAACCGAGGCATTGGAGAGAGCAATTCTGCCTTCCCAAGATGGGCTCTTTCAGTTTCAGTTTTCTGAGTTTCAATTTTACTCTCCTCAGGACAATTTTTACTTCCTACCAGCTAGAGGAGCTGGAGAAGGCATTCAACGAGGCCCACTACCCAGATGTCTATGCCCGGGAAATGCTGGCCATGAAAACAGAGCTGCCAGAAGACAGGATTCAGGTAACAACTACTAGTCCCTCAAGCCCCTTGGGAGCATCTACTTCCCCAGGGAGCCAGATGCCTATGATCTCACCCTCTACCCCCTACAATGGGGTAGAAGCATTTGCCAGTGATCGTGCCCTCAGGACAAACAGTTTACTTAAGCTGATAGGTATTTGCTGAATATCTATCAAGTAAGGGGGGCACAATGGGAGGACAGGAGGGTTGACAGATAAGGCCTGTCTGTTTTAGACTGTACCTTTCTGGGCTGAGGATATAGTTCAGTGGTGGAGTGCTTTGTTGAGCAAGAGTAGGGTCCTGGGTTCGATACCCAGAATTACAAAAACCAAACCAACAAAACAAAACCAAACCACACAAAACAAAAACCACAAATAAAAAAACCCCAACTATAGATTTCCTGAGGAGTCTTGGTGATGAGAAAGAGTTCTCACCCCCGAAGGGGTGCGTGATTCCTGAACGAGTCTATGGGTCTATTGTAGCACATATCTGTTCTAAGACCAGAAGTGGGCCTAGGCTGCTTTGGGTAGCTATGAAGGGGAAGGTATCTTTTGGCCCTGACCCTGGTCTGTATCCTCTTCCCTCCCTTCCCTCCCCCTTTCTTCCTGTTCGCTGACACCCCGTCCAGCTGCAGCTCTTTGTTCCCCTCACAACCAGGCAGCGTCGTCCCTACCTGAATCTCCTGTTCCAGTGCTTCTTCCTAGTCTGGCCCAGAATGTGGCTGGGCACATATGTCCTCTAATGGGACTCACCAAGCCCATCCTCCTCTTGTGGACAGCTGGGTGGCATAACTAGCCACTGGTCTGGACTGGCATGCTCTCTGCTGTGGGAGGAATGGAGATAGGGGTGGGAATAGCTCCCAGCAGCATAAGCAGCAGTGCCTTCGCCAGTCCAGAAGCCCTGAGATGTAGGGCCTTCATAAGGCTAAAGAACTGAAAGGGGTGGGCAAAATATTTCCAGTGGATCTGATTGCCTCAGCTGAGTCTCAGCCTTAGATGAAAGTTGTTCCAGGGTGGTACAGAGGAGAGAGTCCTGCTGCTGCTACTGAATGGGCATAGAGCAGGTCCTTGAGGTCCTGAAACCCTGCCTTCCCAGCATCTCCTCTCTGGCTCAAGTACAGGGCCCCTTTCTGTCTCCAGGTGGTTGTGTGTTGGAAGCAAGTTGAGGTAGGGCCTCCCACGCATGGCAGAGAAGGAACCAAAAGTATGTGGGCTGCTCTAGACTGAAAACCAGAAAATGGGAAATGAGGCCGGGGCTGTTTTTTCAAAAGAGCTTTCCGCTCCCTAGAAATCTATTTGGAATTTCAGCCCAAGGCTTTAGACATTGACACTAACAATAAGCTCAATTATTCATAAGCAGATTATGCTTGGTGTATTAGCCACAGGGACCTGGAACTGTTCACTCTCACCCAGTTGAGTACTAATGGGGTGAGCTGGATGTTGATTCTGAATTGCACATGTGCATGGGATGTAGGCATGCTTTGTAAGTCAAAGCCTAGTTCTTCCAGTCAATGTGTAGCAGTAACTCCTCATGGCCTTTGTTAGCGCCAAGTTGGTCATTGTTTGTAGATGTTGACAGGCCTGCATTTGCACTACTCACTGTCAGAAGGAACCTCTGGCACTTTTAGCAAAGGCAGGCAGATCTCTGGGAGTTTGAGGTCAACTTGGTCTACAAAGTGAGTTCCAGGCCAGCCAGAGCTACATAGTGAGATCTTGTCTCAAAAAAACAAACAATAGCCGGGCGTGGTGGCGCATGCCTTTAATCCTAGCACTCGGGAGGCAGAGGCAGGTGGATCTCTGTGAGTTCAAGGCCAGCCTGGTCTACATAGTGAGTTCCAGGACAGCTGGGGCTACAGGGAGACCCTGTCTCAAAAAGACCAAAAAAAAAA